TCCATCCATCCATCCATCCATCCATCCATCCATCCATCCATCCATCCATCTCCAGCGTTCCTCCTCCTGCACAACTGAGTGAAGCGAGTTCGCACGGGAGGACTCCCTGTTGCAGTTCTTAGAAATGTAACAAGATTAACACATAAAAACAATGATTTATTTGCTTACCATTATAGTAAAGTTGTGTCTCAGTTTAACTTTTCCTTAATAAATACACTTTAATGGTCAAAACAGCTTCATTTTGCCTGGGCGGAGACATCCATCCATTCATTGCGGCTGGAGCCGCTAGCTCTCTAGCATTCCTTCGCCTGCACCAGCTGAGTGAAGCGAGCGGGCACAGGAGGACTCGCTGTTGCAGTTCTTGAAAATTAAAAGCATCAGTCAAAAATTGCATTATGAATATGGGAGAAAAAAACGTATAGAAGTCGCTTCAGCGTCTTAAGTCGCAGGACTGACAAATCTATGCAAAAAAATTCTGTGGCTTATATGGCAGAAAATATGGTAGTTATGGTTGAGGATAAAGAACACCCTTTTTCTTTGACAACTTCTTGAGCCATTCCAGCTATGGAGTGATACTTTTCTTCTATAGTGACACCCAGTGTTGAGGAATAGGATTGCAGTGAATGTACCCCAACTCAATTCCTGGAATAAACTTCACAACTCAGTCAGTCATGTCATCGTCCAAGCTTGAGTAAAGTCCTGTCTTAATGTTCTGAAATCTTTAAATGAACTTGTGCTTTTCCCCAGGGACAAGTCCTCTTACTGTGGATGAGTTTTAAAAATGATTAACATTCATCATCTAATTTCAGTTAATTTATTTAAAGGAATGTGTGTGTTTGTATACTTCATATCTTTTCCCCCAACACATATTTGTTTTGTAGGTATACCAACTCGGTGGTATTCCAGCTCTGGTGAACCTGTTGGACAGCTCCAATTTACAGATCAGCACAGCTGTTGCTGGGGCTTTGAGGAATCTTGTTTTTAAGAATAAGACCAACAAGCTGGAAGTTCATCACTGTGGTGGTATAGCCAAGGCCTTGAATCTACTAAAGAAGACTAATTCTACTGAGACCAAGAAGCAAATCACTGGTAGGACTTTTAATCAAAACAAGACTTCCCAATGTTTGCATATTTCTGGAATTTAGAATGAGAAGAAAACTCCCACCAATGTTTAAATGAAAGATTTCACTATTCCCAACTGTTTCTCAATGCAGAAATTTACAGACTTTTAGTGGAAATACACTTTAGCTAGGCTGTGGTAGCTTGGTGTCAGTGCTTCAGTCTTGTAATCCTGATGCTGTAGGTAGGCAAATGTTTTAAACTATCTTCTTAGTTGCTGCTCCAAATGGTATTTTGGGCCCAGACTGGCTTTAATGCCATAATTTTTCAAGAAAAAAAATTCAAGTCTAAAAGTTTGGTATGAAGAGTTGCTGGTGATACGTATTCCTTCACAGAATACTAGGCCTTTATTATCCTTATTAATATTGTAAAATTAATCTTCTCTCATACCTTTTGTAGGTCTGCTGTGGAACCTGTCTTCTGATGATGACTTGAAAAGAGATCTAATAGACACTGCTATGCCTGCTCTGACTGAAAATGTGGTAGTGCCATTCATCTCAAGCGACGATGACATGAGATGTGTAGACTCCAATGTCTTCCACAACACTACAGGCTGCCTGAGGTTAGAGTTAGAGTTCACTGAGATCAAGCTTTTACTTTGAAATGTTTCATGTTTTGAATGCAGCTACCTTAGTTTCCAAAATGTTTTATCAAACACTAGACTTACAGATTATTTGGAGCTGTATTTGATTACAGAAACTCATATGAAGATGTGTGGTGTCATGTATTGCACAATAATAAATGTTCTTACGGTGTGCATGTAGGAACCTGAGCAGTGGCAGTGTCAAAGAAAGGAACAAGATGAGAAACTGCTCCGACCTCATCAACTCACTCATGAGTTACGTTGGGTCCTGTGCCGAAAAAGAAAACCCTGACGAGCAGGTAACTTGTTTGGTAACTGTGTGAATGTATCATTTGTTTAAAAAAACATAGTGCAGTTTATTTTTCCTGTAACAATATATGCTTCTTCCTGAGATTACCTGTGAACTATCTGACACAAATACGAACAGCTTTTGGATGTTCTCAAAAACTAAAATATTTTTTCTCAACAGTATCATAACTTGCTTTCGTTACCAATTCTTCTTTAGTTTGTCAACATGTAAACAGCTATTTTGGATGCTCTATTCTGATTTAATTGTTTCAATTAATATCCCTTCTTTGCTCCTTTCTGGTTCTGTCATCTAGTCTGTGGAGAACTGCGTATGCATTCTCCATAATTTGACCTTTCAACTGGAGAAGGAGTGTCCAGAGATTTTCAATCAGGATTTCCAATCCAGAGCATCCGTAAGTGAGGAGAAGAAAAGCGCCCCAGTTGGCTGCTTCAGCCCGAGGAGCAGCAAGGTTCCAAACAAGGTGGGCATCAGCAGCACATTTTTCCTTCCATCAAATCATCACCATTATTTAGTTCCAAGCTGTCTTATCTCTTCTCAGATTTCTTTGGAGACACTTCCAGAAAGCAGTGCTGACTCATCCACATCAGGAGTGAAGTGGCTGTGTCATCCCAAAGCCATTGACAACTACCTGCTTTTGCTGGAATCATCCACTAACGAACCCACTCGAGAGGCCAGCTGCGGTGCCCTGCAGAACCTCACCACCAGCAAAGAAGTTAGAACTATTAAGATCCTTGCTAAACCTATTTTTTTGTGCTTTTTGATACGTTTAAGAAAAAGGAAAGGCAAAAAACAGAGATTTTCATTTTATAAATAACTTGCATTTATTGTTTTAATTAGGTTTATTTATTTATTAACCTTTATTTAACCAGGCAAATCCCATTGAGATCACAGATCTCTTTTGCAAGGGAGACCTTGGCCTGAAGGCAGCCTAACATGCATGTTTGTGGTCTGTGGGAGGAAACCGGAGTACCCGGAGAAAACCCACGCAAGCACGAGACGATCATGCAAACTCCACCCAGAAAGACCCCAGGTCCAACCGGGTAGTGAACCCAGGACCTTCTGGTTGTGAGGCAACAGTGCTAACCACTGAGCCGTCGTGCTTTATATAGAATTTGATCATTTTTTGACAATAGCTTATTTTCATTTATAAAAAATATAGTTTTCAAAAAGCCGGATGCTGGACTTGGTATCACTCTGCATGTGGTGTATGAATGTGGGCATTTCCCATGAAATAGGGCATACAGCTGACATCTTCCCATTGTCTTGTGTTTTAGGGGTCTGGTGCCGTGAGCCAAATTTTGCTTCAGAAGTTTAAATCTTTTCCCATCTTGGAGTCTCTGGTGAAATCAGAAAACCGCACCATTCAGAAGACCACCTTGTCCTTGCTGGACAACATGTCCCGCAGCAGAATGCAGATCGACATGGGTAAGCAGCAGCTTGACAGCCAAAGAAGATGAGAACTCGAGTAATCTGTGTGGATTACTGGTGTATTCATCTAACATACTCCATTCATCTAACATACTCCTAATAATAGGTCTGAATATTACGTGAAGAGCATTCCAATAATATATTTTTGTAATGACTTGGTGTCTCCTCTGCAGCAAGGCAGATGTTGCCGGACTTGATTACCTTCCTTGACTCCAACACAGAGGAAATGGTGTTCTGTGATGAAGAAGCTGTGTCACTTTGTCACACAGTGCTGAGACTGATGCTGTCAGACAGTGAGGTCACGAAGAAGATCATTGATAAAAACAAGGTTTCTCAACTGATAAAATTAAGCGAAAATAAAGCGTGAGTTTTTATTTATTTATTGTTTTGGCAACAGTGATGAATCTTCACTTCACACGTCTTGACTGACGATGCCTTCTGTTTACAGGGCATCATATCCTAAAGGGAGCGAAGCAGCCTCAGTGCTGTTGTACAACTTGTGGAATGACAAGAATTTGCACAGCACTGTGAAAAAGGTAATAGAAATTAAGACATTTTTAAAAAATATGTGGCTGAAGATTAATTCTTACAGTAATACACAGATAAACATATTATATTAGATGTCGGGCTGCTCGTGCATGCACTGTCCTGCACGAGCAGCTGAAACAGGTGGGCGTTTACTATTCCTCCTTTGGCTCACCGAGTCACTTTCCCCCGCCATTCTGCACACACACCTGCACCCGAGACTTCAGCGTGTACACAAACAATACGTTTGGAATCTCAGCAGACAGGCTGCGGGTGCTCACCGTCTATTATGAGACAACTTGCAAAAGTGGAAAATGGGGGACGAATGAAGAAGAGCAGAAATTAATGAATGTCAAAGGTGGATCGGGTGCAAAAATGTGAACTGAAAAAGGTATTTTCATGAGTGCAAGTAACTATATTTAGAACAGTGTGCATTTATTATTGGGAAATGTTTTATAGGCTATAAACAGCAAAGTGTGACAGATGAGTAGAGCTGGTTGGAGGATGAAAGCATGAGTTTCACTCTGCCATGATTGCCAGAGGCTCCTTTAAGTTGCTGACACGATACATTACTGTACTTCTCCTTTTCAGTCCAAGGTCATATAGCATGTGTGTTCTTGCATCTGTGGAACAGCTCCAGCTGATTCTTTCAAACCTTTTTTCCTCCACAGATGGGATTGTCAAAAAATCACTTCATCAGCAGAAAGTGTGAGGAAGCCAGCGAGTCATTGTTCAGCAAAATTCAAACAGAATGATGAAGCATAAGGTCAACGTGATGCCTGAAAGGTATTATCTGCTTCTGAGTGTTGTTATGTGCATTCATACAGGCTTTGTCTCTGTATGGGCAAAATAAGGCAAATTAATATAACGTTTTTTTTCCTTTGGTTTCTTCTTTCTGTCTGTATGTGCCTGTGCTTGCAGAAGGAAACCAAAGGTAATTACAAAGTGCAGCGGCCGCACCCTATAAAACATCATCCTCACTGATACCCATGTTGAAAGATGCCATTAATTATGACTTAATCATATATTGTATATTTATGTATATATAGAAAGAGATCATAGATTTGAGTTTCATGGATAATCATGAGGTGTTTGTATTTAATTTGGAAATGTTTGTACAAAGATGTCTTTTGGTTGGTTGGTTGGTTGGTTAAATGTAAGTTTGAGTGTGTACTTGTTTGCACTCTGAAATCCAGTTCTTGTAGCCTGTAAGACACATGACCCCATTGTGAAAATTCAGTGTTATTGCAGTGAAATGTTACATTCAGTAACATATAGGGTTCATGAATGCCTTCACTGTCTAATGTGTCTTTCTGTCTGCAGTAGCTAGAAGAAAAATAAACATCTGTTGTAGCCTTAAAACTGAACAGGCAAACTTGAAAGTAAAGCAGATTGTTATGGTCATAAATGATTGTTGAGGTTGAGGTAAATGGATTTTTATGTGATAATACACTCAGTGTGGAATTTCTTTTTTTAAATTCAAAACACAAACACTTGCATTTCATAAAGAAAAAAAAAGGCTACATTTTTATAACTGAAAATAGTTTAATTCCTTGAAAGCAAAGCAAACATCTGGCAACAGATGTACCTAACATCAGGCACAGTTGAACATTTTTATTATATATAAGCAGGGCCGAGATGGGGCAGAGGTAGGACAGCCGACCTGGGACCAGAAAGTCGCGATTCGACTCCCAGCCATTCCCCCACATCGTGGTGTCCCTGAGCAAGACACTCAATCCCCAATTGCTCCCCAGGCACCCACATAGCTGCCCACTGCTCCACCTGTGTGTATCTCAGGTGTGATGGGTTAAATGCAGAGAGCCAATTTCATCATTGTGTTTTCCCATACAATGATGACTATATATATATATATATATGTATATGTATATGTATATATATGTATATGTATATATATGTATATGTATATATATGTATATGTATATATATGTATATGTATAT